GATTAAGGCTGTGTTTTGATTAAAGTTGGTCAAATAATTTTGCAAATTTTTCATAAATTCTAATCCACACAACAAAAAATGAAGAGTTTACTATCTGGAAACTGTTAAATGGTTATATACTTGATCGAGTTATTCGTATATCACTCACTGTTGTTGTTTTAGGATGTATAACTTTATTATGTTTGAAAACAGATTATAATCTGTCAGACTGCATGAATTTGAATATCAGATTCTTATGTTTTTTTTATATATATTTTTTAAAGCAAATCTAGCGTATTAATGTTTTTGAGTCATGTTTTAAATAATTTTAAAATAAATTCTTAACAATTAAAAAGTAACTTTTCATCACAATTTAAACATTTACTATGCACCTAGAATATAATTTGTTTATTTTAATTTTTATTCATTGTGAAATTAATTAATGTAAGTTATATGTTCCAAAATATTTATTGTAAATTTGTGTAATTTAGATAAATATTTATCTGTGCTGTGAGTTAAAATACAAGTTCAATTCCACATGGAGAATCTAATTTTATTGAATTGAAAGGTTCAAATGATGTAAAAGATAACGTTTTTTATTATATTGTCGTATTTAATATAATTATATAAAGTTTTGAAAAATAAATGAGGCGTGGATATATATTTTGATAGATTTTCTAAACGAGTGCACTCTTTCTTCAAGTAAAAATTAACTTTTACAAGAGAATAAACTTAAGTATAGAACTGTTTAAATTTTCATTCGCTTATAATTATACTTCAATTCAATTTTAATGCGAGAAAATTTTCATAAATTATATTGGTTCATATTTATACCAGAGTTATATGTAATTGCCTACTAATCTTTTATTAGATCAATCTATTATATTTTCAAATATTACAAAAAGTTTACAACAAAAAGACTATACATGAGCATCATGATATTGAATTGTAGAACTCTCATGAAACTTTTTCACAAAAAACGGTAGATGCAAACGTTAAGATTATGAACTTTACAATCTACTGATTTTTTTAATCCATTAAAATCAATAAAAATGTGGATTAATTAAGTGAAAAT